TTTTTTTTTTCTTCTGCTTTTTATGGGATTTTGTTCGTAAACCGTGAATCTTTGCAATTATGTTTGCGGACCGTGAAGAATTAAAAGTAGGAAATACTATTTTAGGATTTTGAAGTAATTGTGTTTTCTAATTAATATATAAGGTAATTTAATTGAAATAGTTTCATCGAATTTCACCTTTTGTTATAGAAGAAAATAAAATATCTGACGTAATTGTTGGATCACCCCGTGCATTCAAATGAAATTTTTGATCGATAAACTTCGTTTGCTGTCGACGACTGTTATTCATACACTTTCCGTGCAAATTTCCAATAATCATCAGACCAATAATTTTCTTCACTTATGAGAGGAAATTCGCCTCGAATAATAATATAAATATACTTTTACCAACCAATCAGGCTTCTAATCCGTTTATAGAACTTTTTTACGATCTTACGAATATTTCAGAAAATAGTTCAAAATTCATATATTCATATATCGCTTTATATGAAATGTATATTTCATTTGTTTGAAAATTTATCGTTCAAAATCTCAATATTTCATATTTAAATTAAAAAAAGAAAAATGTCCAAAATAAATACGGATCTTTTAAAATTAAATCTTGCAAAATATGATAAAAAAATTCTATAAATATTCGTTAAAAATCAAATTTTTAGAAGAAAAAAGTATAAAAATCTTCAATCGAATAACAATCTTCGTAAAATTCGATCGATCTTAATGAATATTCGCCAAAAGGAAAAAGTCACACACAATTTAACCGTTCAAAACTTTTCCTCCTCCTAATGAGTAAAGTTCTATTTTTATCGCGCTCCTCGTTGCGAAAGTTTACGGGGTGCAGAAAGGAATCGCCGTGATGTAATGAGGATTTGAGTTCCGCACGTGTACTCGGCTGTTTTTTTTTTTTTTTTTTTTTTTTTATTTTTCCGTGGCCGCGTGTTCCCTTCGCGATGTGGATTCGCCTTAAAGGGACGAAGGAAAGAGCTCGTCGCGCTGGTGTACATGCCGTGCGTACACGACTCTCTCGTACCGCACAAAAGGTTCGCATCTGGCACGACGTGGGAAAGGATATTCGTAACATTTGGCCTTTCGTTCACTCATGTTTTTGACGGATGTAGCCGCGATAAAAAAATCGTGTCCGTTTTGTTTCTCGATACGAAAATTTATCGATTTAATCGTGGAAGATGATTTTAACGGAGCATTTTGTTTCGATAAGAATAAAAATAATAGATTTTTGAAAAGTATTAAGAAAGAATATTTCGAATCGTTATTGAAATGTTGTTGTTGTTCTGAATTTTCTCGTTTACTTATAAAAAGAATTCACAGTGAGTTCGAAACTGATTTCCTTTCTGGATTCGTGGAATTTTTTATTTTTCTTTGGAACTGCGTGTGTGGTATGAATTAGTATCGTTGAGTTTGATTAATAATGCCGATGGATAAAATGTGCATCGGTTAACAAGATTTATAGTCGAATAATTTGCATTGGTAAAAAGGAATTTATTATGGATTCGTTTTGCATTGATTCTTGGGCGTATGGATGATTCAAGAAATCATGTAAGAATTGATGATCAATGTCGTGTCATATGTCAAATTTACAATGTATAGGATAATGGAGACGTAAGATGATTTTTAAAATCATTAAATGACGAATTTTTAAAATTAGAAATGTGAATAGAACATTGCTGGAATAATCAATATGTTGATTATTCCAGCTTGGAATAATAAATATGCGAATCATATTCTTCAGTATCAGATATAATAACTTTTTTGAATAATTTTGCACATTCTATTTTCTGTTTTATTATTTATTTTTTTTTTTTTATTAGAATTTTATTTCTTTCCAATTTCTAGTTTCATAGTTTCTCCATAGTTTCATAGATCAAACTGCGGCATGAACAGCCATCGACAGGTAATCCGTGAGATATCGGTAGCACGATACGTCAACGAACTCCAAAGTTCTTTCCATTAACCGAATTACACGCGAAAACTTCTCAGAATCAAGATATATAGCCAACATTCAAACTTTAACACTCTTTTCTCGATTTCGTTCAATCTTTTCTTCTGATACTTGTTTTACGGAACTGTAACTTCGATTTTACTTTTTCAAAATTCGTGTTTCTTTTTTTCCAAACTCTTTAAGATTAGAAAGAATTTGTTTGAAAGATTAAAGAAATAATAAATATCGGGAGCAAAGTTAATTTTTCATCAGAGGATCAATCGGAGAAATATTCTTTTTATCGTAGAAATTTCTATTTTTTTTTTTATGAACCGACAGTTCATAGAAAGTCTAAGACCTTTTTCGATCTTAGATAGTAGTATGACCGCCTTTCTGAACTACTACTTTCCAAATACGGTGACGATACGTACGATAGAATTGATGCGTAAAATAGAACCGTCCCGATCCATCAAACATCGTCACTAAAATGTATTCTAATGAGTAAATAATCTTACGTATCCTACTTTTACATCCAAAAATATATGAGAAATTTATAGAATAATATTTCCTTTTTTTAAAAAAAATTTAAAAAATTTTAAATCGAGAATTCGATCCTTTTTTTTTCAAAAACGAGATTTTAAACGAAGAAATTTTATTTTACATTTCCATCTATATTTATAGAAAAATTTCAAATCTCCTTTTATCGTAAGGCACTCCGTATGTACGAATTTTGTACACACACTATCCAAATATTAACTCGAATCACCGTATGTATATCCAATATTCCAATAACCCTTAATCGATTTCAATCTGATTCCATGTTCGAACAATGATTCCGCTCTTAACATAAATTCGTTTATCTAATTGGCGATCCGTGTTTCGTGCAATGCCGATTCATCCTGATCAAGGATGAATCTCGAATCTCGAAATGGCTACAAGCAACCGTTTCGGCTTTAATCTTCGATTACCGGATACGTTGTTAACGATGTCAAGGAAGGTTGTTACCGTACGAAATATCTGTAACGCGTGGCCATATATTTTTTGGTGAACGGTTGACGATCGCGGTTTCATGCGACCTCGAAGAATCCAGCCGCAAGATCTGGACCACCATGAAGGATTACGACACGAGGCGGTCCCTCGAAGTGAAACGAGTGATACGAGAAGCGACGTGTCGTCTTTCTGGGATGCAGATTGCTTTGAATTACGCGAAATATGGTCGCTCGAGATTTATCAACGAAGGAGGATTGGTCGCCTTGTTAAATGTAACAGTCGAGACGAGTTTTGTGCGTGACCCTTTTGGCGTACGTAATTTGAGTTTTCATACATTTCATATATTTCATTTCATTTAAATTATTATAATCAACGAATAATCTTTGTTTTAATATTTATTTTTTGAACATGTAGGTACAGGATATATTAAATTGCTAGTTGACAGTTGATGCTATTATTCCTTCCCTTCGTGAAAGCATTGATATCGCGTGTAGGAAGTTAGTACTGATTTCAAAAGTAGTTTGATAAATATTTGCGCTCTTACGTGGTCGTACAGATACGCTTGTGTACTCATAAAACATCGTATACTTATGGAAGTAGGCAAAAAAAATGATCAATACAAATCCACGTACGAATCACTATGATTGAAATATTCCTTCGAATTAGTATCTTCAAAAAAGACTCGTGTTATAAAACAAACGACAATATAGATAAAAAGTTTCTTTCTAATTACGAATCACAAACTCGTTCGAATTATATCGATTAAAAAAAAAATCTTAAAGAAAATTATTTTCAACAATTATATAATTATTTTCATAAAGGTAACAATAATATCATTAATAATCCTAATAATCCATCTCATTTGTTTCAAGTATTCCAATATTTATAATATCCGGCAACGACTAGAACAACCGAAACAAATCCGATATTTCTCCGTTATGTCGATGTTGACGACTATACGGCTCTAATTATATCGGCGTGTAATATCACATGGTCGGTCTCCATCCCAGCTTCAAAGCTGCGGAGCAACGGGACGAGAGATAGGTCGGCACCCTTTGCCCGTTGGAATCGTGTGTGGGTACCTCTGCCGTGTAGTTACTATTCTCGT